AAAAACAGGATTTGTTAGTCATACAGCAAGTGAAGAAACTCCAGAAGTAAATAGATAATCATAATTATTCTTAGATGAAGTTACTTTCCGAAGGTGGAAAGTATATAGTGACATTTGATCCATTGGATGGAAGTTCTATTATTGGAACCAATTTTGCTGTAGGCACAATAGTTGCTATTTGGAAATCAGATGAAAATCTATTAATAGGAAAAAAAGGTAGAGACATGGTATCTGCTTGTTGTTGTTTATATGGAAGTAGAACAAATGTTGTATTCTGGAATTAGAAGGAATAAAAGGTCTAAGAATATACATTATTTGGTATGGCATTAATTTTGATTATTTTTAGATGGTGATAAATAAGGACATTGGGAATTAACAAAAGACAATATCAAGATTAAACCAAAAGGTAAGTTATTCAGTCCTGGAAATACAAGATGTATAGCTGAACATATTCCTTACAGAGAAGTTGTAGATTATTGGATTCATAATGGCTATACATTGAGATATTCAGGTGGAATGGCACCAGATATATGTTAGATCTTTTTGAAAGAAGTAGGAGTATTCTCTTGTTTTGGTGATGCCAAAAATCCATCAAAATTAAGATACCTTTATGAATGTGCTCCACTTTCTTTCTTAATTGAGAAAGCTGAAGGAAAGTCTTTCAATGGTAAACATTCTGTACTTGATACAGAAATCACAGGATATCAACAAAAGAGTGAAATTATAGTAGGTAGTGCAGATGAAATAGAATTTTTCAAGAGTGTTTGGAAGAAACATGGACTTTTAAAAGAATGATTTGTTTATTAAATATAATAAAATTATTATAAATTTTAATTATTTAAAATGAAAAATAATGGTTATTATTTATATTTAAATTATCAATAATAAATTCTAATCAATTCATTCAATTCTTATATAAGTTAAGGATCTTTCACTTTTAAAAAGTTAACTATATTAATCTCATCAAATAATTGTTTCCGAGAATATAATGCAGATTAATTACTAATTCCACTATTAACTATTTACTATTATTCAAATCTCTATTGACTTGGAGTTTTCTTTAATTATTATAATTTATTTATTGGCATTTCATTATGTAATTTTTCACTGCTTTAACTTCGATTAACTAATTAATCTCCTGATTTATCATTCTTACTTCCTCCTGCACTAACCTACCTTAAAATTCTTGAAGAGCTTTTTGAATCCTTTGAAACAGAATATGATCTCTATTATTATGGTTATCTCTTGTCTAATTCATATTAAATAAACTAATGTAAAGGTGATTTGATATATTTCATTAAAAATTCTGTATTCATTAATGACATGTTGAGTTAATTGATACATCTTTCATAATCATTCGGATTTAATTAAGGTACTAAAATTATTATATTTAATAATATACCAAATTCTAAAAGTAATTGAAATGACTTTTCTTATGCTTATTATATTTAAGGAGTAGCTGCTAATAAAATCAAACTATCATCCAAATCGAGTTTGCTTAAATTATATGTAGGATTTAAATTATAATATAGATGATTTAAACACAAAGTCAATACTTGATCTGTGTTTAGATATACTGTAAATTCTAATTTTTGTTAATCAAATTTATTTAGATCTATATTATATAGTAAATAATAATATACCATTGAATTCACATAAGAGAATTTTATTTCCTTTACTTGCTACTAAATTAACTAATTTCAATGGTTCTAGACCAAATTATGAAAGTTATAATTAAAAATAAAGAGCAATAATTCTTAAATTTAATTCAGGATCAATATCTTCTAATTTAAGATAAATTTTCAAGACTTTATCTTCCATTTTAGCTACTAATTTCCATGTGAAATCTGAAAATTTAAATTATTATGTTTCTTTATTGATTATTGATGATAGATTTGATAATTTCCAATTTATACTTGGATGAGTTTAATAATTGATCTTCTTTGCCAATACAGTTTATTTTTGTTAAGTAATAATTTAAACAATATCTTAACAATTCCTAATCTTTTATACTATCTATAAGAGTTCAGGATTATTCTTTTTACGATAATGTTTTAATGCTCTTTCTAATATCTCTTCAATAACTTTCTAGTTTATTTTATTAAGATCCATTGGATTAGATTAATATATAAGTAATAAATTTCTTGCTGTAAAGTTCATACATACATTTAACATCTAATACCACACTTCTGGAGAATCCTGAATGAAATTTCATTATTACTTCACATGCTTTCAACTTTTTGAATGCTTCATTTAAAAATAAAATGCAATTTTAAACACTGACTCTATCTAAAATGAGATCACGAATTACAGTCTCTTAAAAGAATTCCATTTACAAATGATCTCCTAACCATAATAATCTCTATAGAGTTTAATCAGTGTATTTTTTCTGAATATCCAATTAATTATTGAGGAACTATTGGAAAACAGAGAAAGCTTCCATCGTTAGCCATTTTGGCATAGTGGCAGTATACACCTTTTCATAAGATTAATCTGCTTACAAGACCTTTTTTCTCAGTTTAGAGAGTCATACTTAAACACTTGCTAGCTTCAATGTAATGAGTTTATCCTTCTACTACAAAGCAAACGAATTCAGACATATATATTCGTTTATTAATTATATATAAAATAATTTCAAAAATTGTTTTAACTTCCTTAAAGAACTTAATTGATTAGATATTGAAATATTATCTTGAAACTCTATTCTTTTATTTGATAAATTGTATCTTGATCAAAAGTCTAATTACATAATATTATCCTTTTTTTTCATACACAACCTTCTATTTTATAATATCTTAATTTATCTTTCTATAAATTTTTTTGAAGGTTCGATATTTGTCTTTTAAGTGTATAAGAGAAGTTTAAAAAAGGATTAGTAAACTCTAATATCTTTTTTGATTATCATATTCTTATTTAGTTCTAATTTCTTTTAGTTTTCATCAACTAAGTATTATTCAATTCAGACCATTAAAATACTTTACTTTTTTGATGATATTTATAAGTAATAATTAAATTTATGAACTTACTCATAATTTTAGGAGATATCAAGTACATAAATTAATGAAATTTTTCTTATGATAATGAATGTTTACAATATTCAAATTATATGATGTACTTAATATTATTGTCATGATAATAAATAAGTGATATTAATTATATTTTATTTTCTAATAAATTGATGTAAGAAAAGCCTAATCAATAATAATAAGACAATGTTCAAAATACAATCAAATCATTATAAGATAAGATCTAAAATATAGAGAATTTAATAGAAAGGGGAAGTGATTGTATTATTATATAGTATGGATCACATAGTATAAAAATGAATAAAGCAAGCGGTATTTAGTGTATTTATATTTTATATAGAGATGCTTCCTAAAAAATTCAGAAATTTAATTGGCTATAAAGTATAATCTTAACCAAAATAAAGTTAATCAACAGATCTTACTGTGATTGATGAAAGTCTTTTATTATTGGAACAAAAACTTATTTAGAAATGTGCATTAAAAGCATAACCTAAAAGTATGCGTGGAAAGCCAAGAGCAAAGATTGAAGTAGATTTACGTAACATTAGAGGATTTGTAGGCAAAAAGGAATAAAAATAACCATAATGCATTCTTGCTTAGATGATTGAAGATAAATCTGTTGTATTTGAGGATGATATTTTTACAGGGGAATATTTAGTAAGATAACCAATTAAACATGGATTTTTCAATTTAACAGATAATTACAGCATATAAGATGTGATAGAGGATCTATATAAATTAACATTATATGGATTGAGTTGTAAATTGGAAGTGAAGAATGTCTCTGATTATTATTGTATATTAGTTATTCCTGACATTTTTTAAAGAATTCAAGTGAAAATGTTAGTAGATATGTTAATAAGATAATTGGGATTTAAAGGAATTTATTTACATTTAGAATCTGTATTATCTAGTTTTGGTGCTAATCTTTAATAATGTTGTGTTGTAGATATTGGATATGAGAAAATAAATATAACATGTGTAGATGATGGAGTTATTTTACCAGGAACATATGTAAGAAAGAATTTTGGTAGTAAAGATATTGATTTAGTATTGATGAGATAAGTTACTAAAAGAAATGCTTGTGATTAAACAGTTCAATTATAAAGTAATAATTATGGAGATCTACTTTAAATGGAAAAACTTAAAGAAAAGGCTTGTCAATTGACTTAAAAAGAAGATAAACTTAATTATAATTATGAACTTCATTGTTTAAGAAATCAAAAGGAAAAGAGATTCTTTGTTTAACATAATGATGGATTATATATATCTGCAAATACACTATTTGAATCTGAACCATTTAATGAAATTAGAAAGTAAGATATGCATGAATGTTTTGATTTTACAGGACGTCTTTTTGAAATGTAATATGATCCAGAAGACAATTTTGAAGAACTCAGTGGAGGTATACAATTATGTTGGTATTGGGGTTCCAAAGAAAAAGAATAATAATATTTCATAGAAGGAAATCAAATGTTAAATCCTAATTATATGATCCCTTTAGATCATATGATTGCTTATTCTATTGCTTAAGTATAAGATCCAGAAATAAGATAAAAATTAGCAAATAATATTCTATTTACAGGAGGTGGAGCACATCTTATTGATCTTGTAGATGAAGTAGAAGCTTTATTGATTGAGAAATTCTAAGTGATGGAATTAAATGAAATTGAAAGAGTGGAAGTTAAAACAATTATTAGAGATGTTAGACCTATCAATATGGCATGGGTTGGAGCAACTGTCTTACCTAAAACAGAAAGTGTTAGTGAATTATGGATTACATCTGCTAGATGGTTAGGTAATTTAGAACCTCAAAAAGATGAATTGGAAGATATGATTAATTAATTTGATGGAGATGTTTAATAATTAGAAAAAAAATTAATTGCTTTTGCCAAAAAAGACAAAGAAAAAGATCGTAGTTGTGAATATGGACTTAAACATTTGAAAGAAAAGATTCCCTTTATTTGGTGATTTGTATAATTATATATATATTTAAATGCAATCAATCATATCAATCAGAATCTTCAAATAATGCTCTTTGCATTCTTTAATTCCTTTATTAAGCAGGTGTAGGTTTAGAAGCTTCAGGTTTTTTAACTGGCTCAGGTGGTTTAACTGGTTACTACTAAACAGTAGCTCTTGAAGGTGGTTTCAGATCTTCATCTGAGTCATCATCAAACATATTTTTCTTTATTGATGGTTTCTATTAAGGAGGGGCAATTTATTATTATAATTAAACAGCAGGTTTAGGAGGTCAACTATAATAATTGAATCTTACTCAACTCTTTAGCCTGGCATAGGTAATTTAGGAGCTAAATCTTCTTCTTCATCACTAAACATATTCTTTCTTTATGGTTTAGCAATTGTAGGAGTGATTGCTACTTAAACAGTTGTGGTCTATGTATTAGATTTACCTATTATATATAAAATCAATATTTACCTCCAAAACTAGGAAGATTACTTATCGAAGCTGGTTATTATTATTATTTCTTTCCTCCTCCCGAAAGTGGATCATTATAAAAATTTGGTAAACCTCTAAATCATATAAGAATATGAATTACTTTTATTCAAATTCTTATCCTATATTCTTTTTTGTTAATGGATCTTATTAAGTTGGTTTATTCTAAGTTATACTTGGTAGTTATTGTTGAGTAATAGTCACCTGAATATCTTTTTTTTCAGTTTTCACTTCCAAAGTTACTGGGACTTCAAAATCTCCTTATTTATTAAATTTAATTGATTCTCTAAATGATGTTCTATCGATTACTACTTCAGCCTTTTAAGTTTATTAAGTTTTCTCCTTTATAACAAATGTTGGTTTAGCTGATTTCTTATTAGAATCATCATCATCAAAATCAATTGCTTGTCTTCCTCTAGCTTTCTTTTTTTAAACAATTGGTCTTTCTGCTTATTATTCCACAAATTCAGATTCATTTTCTCTTTCATTTTTTTTAATGTCTTTCATTGTGACTTATTCTCCAGGAGGCTTCATAAACATATTCAAATTCAATTTATTTTGTAATTATTAAATAGAAGGTCTAACTGATGGTTCTTCAGTGGGTACAGTTAATTATTCAGTTGGTTTTACGGGAATTTGAGGCTATTTCTTTTTTTCATCATCTGAATCTTCAAAAGCATTTCTTTAAGTAGTTAATTTAGGAGGAGGTACTTATTATTTTGGTTATTATTATTATTATTATTATTATTATTATTATTATTATTATTATTATTATTATTATTATTATTATTATTATTATTATTATTATTATTATTATTATTATTATTATTATTATTATTATTATTATTATTATTATTATTATTATTATTATTATTATTATTATTATTATTATTATTATTATTATTATTATTATTATTATTATTATTATTATTATTATTATTATTATTATTATTATTATTATTATTATTATTATTATTATTATTATTATTATTATTATTATTATTATTATTATTATTATTATTATTATTATTATTATTATTATTATTATTATTATTATTATTATTATTATTATTATTATTATTATTATTATTATTATTATTATTATTATTATTATTATTATTATTATTATTATTATTATTATTATTATTATTATTATTATTATTATTATTATTATTATTATTATTATTATTATTATTATTATTATTATTATTATTATTATTATTATTATTATTATTATTATTATTATTATTATTATTATTATTATTATTATTATTATTATTATTATTATTATTATTATTATTATTATTATTATTATTATTATTATTATTATTATTATTATTATTATTATTATTATTATTATTATTATTATTATTATTATTATTATTATTATTATTATTATTATTATTATTATTATTATTATTATTATTATTATTATTATTATTATTATTATTATTATTATTATTATTATTATTATTATTATTATTATTATTATTATTATTATTATTATTAAGCATACATAGCAGCAATTTTATCTGCATTTGCTTTTTAAAGAGTCTCTTCTTCTGTTTCATCAAATAACTATTTTTTAGGAGCAGGCTTAGTACTTGATATTCTAGGCTATACACTAAAATCTTGATCTTCTTCCTCCTTTATAACAACAGCTACTGGTTTCTAATTTTATTCTTATTTTGCAACTCCATCAGTTAGTAGGTTATTGAATTTGTTTTTATTTGTAGTTGTAGATTTAAATAACCCACCATCATTATCATCATCATCATCTTCATCAAACAAACTCATTATTTTATCTTTTTCTCTTGCATAAGTAGGTGCTCCAATTACATTTGGTGGTTAAAATACTTTTACTGGTTATTATGAATTTCTTTATTCAGGTGGTTATTCCTATTAAGATTAGTATGGTTATTATTACTAAATTGGTTATTAATAGGGTTGATTTTCTTCTCTCTTTTTTTAAATTATTGAATTTAGCTAATCTTAAAGAGTTTAAGGAGGTGGTTATTATAATATTGGCTATTATATTGATGGTTATTAGTAATAAGGTTATTAGGTAGGAGGTGGTGGAGGTGGAGGTGGAGGAGGATCAACTACTGTTGGTCTCTGTGTTTGTGAAGCAGTTTGAAGAGGAGGTTGTGGTTGTACTCCTGGTTATTGTGGTTATTGATATGGTGGTGCAAAGGCTAAATTAAATTCTGCCTTTTATTGAGGGTTTGTAAACCCGAATTATTAATCCATCATTGAATTTCCTAGAGCAGAATTTGTTCGTGTAATAAATTAATTATTGTCTCCAGTATATGAGATTTAAGATTAATCTTATCTGATAGATGATCTAATTTGCTACTGATTTTATGGTGGAATCAATTAAGACTATTAATTATTGAAAGATTGTTATTAAGGTTGTGCTTCAGATTATCTATATATTGGTGCAGGGGCAGATTGACGTACTGGCTCTTAGATAGGAGCTTCATCAAAGTCATCAAAAAGACCTAAGTATTGTATAGAGTATTACCAATAAATTTGTTGTTGTTGAATTAGGGTGTGCCAAACATGGCAGGCAATTTAACAGACTTACTCACAGTACCACTAGTAGTAGCTGCAGAGAAGACAGAGATTGATTTATCATCTCTGTCATCAAATATGTCATCTAGGGAATTTAAGAATTTTTATACCATCTTATGCCATCTATTGTAAATCAAGTGATTATAATGCCATGCCTAAAGCTTTTGTGTACTTTTGAGCTGTAGTGAGTCCATCATCTTTGTTTTATGAAGGTGCAGCCTTTGGAGGGGCTTCTTATGGAGGGGCCATTCTCTTTGATGATCTATAAAACAAAATACTTATTCAGTAAAACGACTATCACTCAAAGTTAGAAATTTATTGAAGGCTTGATTAATTTGAGCATGGATAGAGTTAGCTGAATGTTAAACTGATCGGATATCGGATGACACAGCTCCAAATTTTGTAAGGAGATTGGTACTCATTTGATCTAATTTAACGAAGGTCTAAAGTAAGTTAGGGTATTTCATTATTCATACTTTATTATCTTGATCTAGGGTCCATTGGTTGATTTGACTTCTCAAAGTTGTCAAGTCAGCCATATTAATTAATAATTATATAACAATATATTGAATATTCTCAATGTTAATCCACATAACTATATTTATATAGTATCTTCATAAATTAAATAATGAATTGAAGTATTTCATATAGGATTTAATGGGGTTCAATTGATATATTAATATCTATATACTTGATGATAATTTTGTTTCAAGAAAGATAGTTAATTGTATAAAAGATAAAAAATTAGAAAAATTTAAAATTTAACATCATTATGAAAAATTGGAAAATGAAGTACAGGGTAACTTATAAGACATTATGAAATTCTGATGCTGATTATAGAGTTGTAAATTAATTAATAATTATTGGAATCAACTGAATTAAATCAAAAAATAGAAATGGTTAATATATTGATTGAGTTGGAGTATTGGGAGAAAAAGATTCACAAATTTTTATAATAAGATTTAGATGATACAGAATAATTATATTAATTAAATCTATTCAAGTTTAAGAATTAGATGTGAAGCTATAGACTTGAACAATCAAGAAATTAGGATTANTTATTATTATTATTATTATTATTATTATTATTATTATTATTATTATTATTATTATTATTATTATTATTATTATTATTATTATTATTATTATTAAGCATACATAGCAGCAATTTTATCTGCATTTGCTTTTTAAAGAGTCTCTTCTTCTGTTTCATCAAATAACTATTTTTTAGGAGCAGGCTTAGTACTTGATATTCTAGGCTATACACTAAAATCTTGATCTTCTTCCTCCTTTATAACAACAGCTACTGGTTTCTAATTTTATTCTTATTTTGCAACTCCATCAGTTAGTAGGTTATTGAATTTGTTTTTATTTGTAGTTGTAGATTTAAATAACCCACCATCATTATCATCATCATCATCTTCATCAAACAAACTCATTATTTTATCTTTTTCTCTTGCATAAGTAGGTGCTCCAATTACATTTGGTGGTTAAAATACTTTTACTGGTTATTATGAATTTCTTTATTCAGGTGGTTATTCCTATTAAGATTAGTATGGTTATTATTACTAAATTGGTTATTAATAGGGTTGATTTTCTTCTCTCTTTTTTTAAATTATTGAATTTAGCTAATCTTAAAGAGTTTAAGGAGGTGGTTATTATAATATTGGCTATTATATTGATGGTTATTAGTAATAAGGTTATTAGGTAGGAGGTGGTGGAGGTGGAGGTGGAGGAGGATCAACTACTGTTGGTCTCTGTGTTTGTGAAGCAGTTTGAAGAGGAGGTTGTGGTTGTACTCCTGGTTATTGTGGTTATTGATATGGTGGTGCAAAGGCTAAATTAAATTCTGCCTTTTATTGAGGGTTTGTAAACCCGAATTATTAATCCATCATTGAATTTCCTAGAGCAGAATTTGTTCGTGTAATAAATTAATTATTGTCTCCAGTATATGAGATTTAAGATTAATCTTATCTGATAGATGATCTAATTTGCTACTGATTTTATGGTGGAATCAATTAAGACTATTAATTATTGAAAGATTGTTATTAAGGTTGTGCTTCAGATTATCTATATATTGGTGCAGGGGCAGATTGACGTACTGGCTCTTAGATAGGAGCTTCATCAAAGTCATCAAAAAGACCTAAGTATTGTATAGAGTATTACCAATAAATTTGTTGTTGTTGAATTAGGGTGTGCCAAACATGGCAGGCAATTTAACAGACTTACTCACAGTACCACTAGTAGTAGCTGCAGAGAAGACAGAGATTGATTTATCATCTCTGTCATCAAATATGTCATCTAGGGAATTTAAGAATTTTTATACCATCTTATGCCATCTATTGTAAATCAAGTGATTATAATGCCATGCCTAAAGCTTTTGTGTACTTTTGAGCTGTAGTGAGTCCATCATCTTTGTTTTATGAAGGTGCAGCCTTTGGAGGGGCTTCTTATGGAGGGGCCATTCTCTTTGATGATCTATAAAACAAAATACTTATTCAGTAAAACGACTATCACTCAAAGTTAGAAATTTATTGAAGGCTTGATTAATTTGAGCATGGATAGAGTTAGCTGAATGTTAAACTGATCGGATATCGGATGACACAGCTCCAAATTTTGTAAGGAGATTGGTACTCATTTGATCTAATTTAACGAAGGTCTAAAGTAAGTTAGGGTATTTCATTATTCATACTTTATTATCTTGATCTAGGGTCCATTGGTTGATTTGACTTCTCAAAGTTGTCAAGTCAGCCATATTAATTAATAATTATATAACAATATATTGAATATTCTCAATGTTAATCCACATAACTATATTTATATAGTATCTTCATAAATTAAATAATGAATTGAAGTATTTCATATAGGATTTAATGGGGTTCAATTGATATATTAATATCTATATACTTGATGATAATTTTGTTTCAAGAAAGATAGTTAATTGTATAAAAGATAAAAAATTAGAAAAATTTAAAATTTAACATCATTATGAAAAATTGGAAAATGAAGTACAGGGTAACTTATAAGACATTATGAAATTCTGATGCTGATTATAGAGTTGTAAATTAATTAATAATTATTGGAATCAACTGAATTAAATCAAAAAATAGAAATGGTTAATATATTGATTGAGTTGGAGTATTGGGAGAAAAAGATTCACAAATTTTTATAATAAGATTTAGATGATACAGAATAATTATATTAATTAAATCTATTCAAGTTTAAGAATTAGATGTGAAGCTATAGACTTGAACAATCAAGAAATTAGGATTAGACTGCCTTCTAATAATAAGATTAAATTATACATTTATGAATTTAGAATGATAAAAAGAATATTTATCCTTTAAATTTGAAACTCTCGGCTATATTAAATTGATACGACATTGCTATTTTCAAATTAATTAAGATTAAATGATTCTTTAGATTTGAACATGAGAAATTACTCAAATAATTTGAATCATAATGTTCAAACTTCTTTAGTTAAGATTGAAGTTAATGTTAAATATATGATTATTTTAACCTCTAATTTATTTATATCAATAAATTTATAAAAATATTGTTTCATTAAGTTTCAGAGTTAGAATTTAGATTAAGATATTAAATCTATGCATTCAGAGATTAAGAAACTACAATGATTTAAAATATAAAAAGATGATTAACAAGATAAGTTATATAATCAATTTTAAGATTTGAAAAAAAAACAATAAGAGAATAATCTAATAATCAAGGAAATAAATTAAGAGAGTAACTTAGTAAGTATTGCTACTTATTAAAATTGAATAAAGTATTTAATTTAAAGTATATGACAATAGAAACACCAAGTCAATTATCAAAAAAATAGTCATATTAAGATATTAATCTAAAATAAGAACGTTGATAGATATCAAATAATAGAAAAATATAAGAATAAAAGGGGAAATATTATAATAAATAATTCATTAATTAAAGAATAGATAAGAATAAAAGATGAAGGGCATTAGAAGATTACAAAACTTAAAAAAAGATCATGGATCTCACATCAACATTATTAATAATATATGATATTAGGTGAATATTAAATAAGAGATAAAACTTAGATAATTGATAAGATCATCAATTTAAAAATAGTAAACAACTTTTATAACTTAATTCTAATAATATATAATTTAGAAAAACAATACTAACTAATAATGCCATAATAATTCCTACTTGAATCTATAAATCAGCATAGGTAATAATTGTCTTACCTAATACAATTTTATAAAAATTTGGTATTTGAATATATATAGTAAATATTCGAAATTTTTATTAGTAGTTTAAATTAAATATATGAATAGATATCAATAGTATAATAAAATAAGATAATATCATACTTTATTATATGTATAGTTCTAATAAGATATAATAAGACATTAACAGTATGATAAGAACATATATAATCGTTTCATAAAATAAGTTGATGAATTGAGTAATCTCAAATATTAAAATTATTAGTTTTGTTGTTGTATATAATATATAAATCTTCTCTTGTACTTAATATTTTGAAATAAAGATTTTCCATTAAAAAGTTATATATTTTAAGTGTCGCAATTATGTAATTAAATAATTAATGTTTTCAAAGAAATTACAAATAATTCTTTAGTATATAATAAAAATTTGTTTATTGTTTTGGTAATTTATTTATTTATTTATTCATATATATTTTGATGTTCAAATATCAAAAAAGAGAAGCTTAATTCTGCAAGAATACTTCTAAAAGTTTATTTACAAAATTAGATTACTTTGCTTAACGTCCTCAATTTTAAGTATTAAAAAAGACTTCCTTCAGTACAGCATTTGGGTATTTACTTACAATAATGTTATCAACGATTTGTGTATTTTATCTATATATTTAAATGGATGNATTTAGATTAAGATATTAAATCTATGCATTCAGAGATTAAGAAACTACAATGATTTAAAATATAAAAAGATGATTAACAAGATAAGTTATATAATCAATTTTAAGATTTGAAAAAAAAACAATAAGAGAATAATCTAATAATCAAGGAAATAAATTAAGAGAGTAACTTAGTAAGTATTGCTACTTATTAAAATTGAATAAAGTATTTAATTTAAAGTATATGACAATAGAAACACCAAGTCAATTATCAAAAAAATAGTCATATTAAGATATTAATCTAAAATAAGAACGTTGATAGATATCAAATAATAGAAAAATATAAGAATAAAAGGGGAAATATTATAATAAATAATTCATTAATTAAAGAATAGATAAGAATAAAAGATGAAGGGCATTAGAAGATTACAAAACTTAAAAAAAGATCATGGATCTCACATCAACATTATTAATAATATATGATATTAGGTGAATATTAAATAAGAGATAAAACTTAGATAATTGATAAGATCATCAATTTAAAAATAGTAAACAACTTTTATAACTTAATTCTAATAATATATAATTTAGAAAAACAATACTAACTAATAATGCCATAATAATTCCTACTTGAATCTATAAATCAGCATAGGTAATAATTGTCTTACCTAATACAATTTTATAAAAATTTGGTATTTGAATATATATAGTAAATATTCGAAATTTTTATTAGTAGTTTAAATTAAATATATGAATAGATATCAATAGTATAATAAAATAAGATAATATCATACTTTATTATATGTATAGTTCTAATAAGATATAATAAGACATTAACAGTATGATAAGAACATATATAATCGTTTCATAAAATAAGTTGATGAATTGAGTAATCTCAAATATTAAAATTATTAGTTTTGTTGTTGTATATAATATATAAATCTTCTCTTGTACTTAATATTTTGAAATAAAGATTTTCCATTAAAAAGTTATATATTTTAAGTGTCGCAATTATGTAATTAAATAATTAATGTTTTCAAAGAAATTACAAATAATTCTTTAGTATATAATAAAAATTTGTTTATTGTTTTGGTAATTTATTTATTTATTTATTCATATATATTTTGATGTTCAAATATCAAAAAAGAGAAGCTTAATTCTGCAAGAATACTTCTAAAAGTTTATTTACAAAATTAGATTACTTTGCTTAACGTCCTCAATTTTAAGTATTAAAAAAGACTTCCTTCAGTACAGCATTTGGGTATTTACTTACAATAATGTTATCAACGATTTGTGTATTTTATCTATATATTTAAATGGATGAACTCACAAAGTAATCTAATCCATAAGTCATCATTTCAGACAATCAACCCCTAAATACTCCAGTATAAACAATATATATATAAAATATAGGTAATTTACTTATCCAGAAGCAATTTTACTTTTGTAATTAGCGTATCTAATGCACTTTTACAATCCTTTGATAAAAATTTGAAGTATTATAATCTGACTATAAATTAATGTCATAGAAAAAGAAGCTATGATGAAGAAAATAGCAGGTCTAATGTTTCATTAGAGTATAATAAATAATTAAAAAAAGGTGTTTCAATTATAAAATAGAACCTTGTGATTTGGAAAAGCATTTTGTAACAGATTTTTAAAAAACCTATTTCTAAAAGTTTAAATTATCTACTATGTATTGTTTAAATCCAGAATAATGGGATTAAAGACCTATAGTAATATATAAATATAATAAATATAGTAACTTTAAGGTCATTCATAAAGTGATAACTTTTAATTTGTAACTATTAATTTAAATCTATGCAAAAACAGCACAAATTATAAGGAATGTAGTCCAATTGAAGAAATTCAAAAAGGACTTGTAAGTTCATACTATGCAATTTATTTGTCTGATGTCTTAATTAAAATGTAAAATCCTGGAAGGCCATATGATGATGTAATCACAATTTAAAATACTTAATTTTCTTATGCTAAATCCTAACAAATGCATTCCTTATTTAAGATAGTCAATACAGAAACTGATGTTGGTTTGATTAATAAAGATGTTTTGAGAGATGAGACTATATTGCAATCAGCAACAAAGGAATATTCAGAGTCTTATAATGGATATTATTTAGCTAATAATCTTCTATATTTAGAATAAAGAGAAACTATATACAATAGATCATATATTAAATTATAAACTATTTTGGGTAATGTAGGAGGTCTGTGGTAAATAATTTCTTTAGTTATTTCTGCTATATTTGGACCTGTCTTATTTACATACATGAATTTATCACTTGTAAGTAAATTTTTTAGAATTGAAAATAATAAATCTAAAAATTAATTTGATAAATAGATACTAAATGATGATGAAATAAAAGAAATGAATATGATAGGTTCAGATTAATAAACCAAAAATTTATCAATAATTCAAAATAGTAATCAAACAAAATTAAAATAATATCTTAAGAAAAAAAAGAATCCAATTAGTATTTCTTTTAAGGATGCATTATTAATGTATTTAGGATGTTTAGGAAACAATTAAAAAATATATAGATTTGCTATTTAAAAAATAATGATGAAATTAGATGTTGCTTATATTATTAAAAAATTACATGAAATTGATAAACTTAAAAGTATTTTAATGACAAATGAATAAGTAAAATTATTTAATTATATTCCTAAACCATTAATTCCAAGTGATATATTTGATATAGGATTTAAAAAATAATACAATCCTAATACTAGTTCTAATTAACCAGAATCTATATCTATATTTGAAGAAGAGAAAACTGAAATTTAAAAATTGGAAGATTCTTTTCATGCTTATTAGAAAATTAGATAAAAAGAAAATCCATCTAATTTAGATTAAGTTATTATAGAATAGATGGATGAAGAAATTAAAGCCTTTTTTGATTGTATGAGTAAAAAATAAAGTGGTCTTATGTATCCTTTATCACCAAGATTTGATTCAATACCTTAAAGTTAAAGGGAAGAGGAAAATTTAATAATAAATTAAGAACCTTAGGCAGGAAAAGTATTAACAAGAAAAAAATGATAAATGAATCAATTATAATTCAATCTTAAATTATTTTATGAATTCTAATTATAAATTTATTAATAAAAGATTTCTATTTATTATCTGATTATATATATAAATATAGTAATACTTATATATATATATATAATCAATGTAAAATAGTGTTAATTATTTTATATAAAAATATCAAATTTATATTGAATTAATAAATAGGATTATGTAATAGCTTAATTATAACAAATCATTATATCTTACATATATAATATATATTTCATTATGTTTTGTAAAATAGATAAGCTGTTTTATCAATGTAAAAGTAGATAAATCTTCTTTTTTCATGAATTGAATGACATCCAAAATTTTTACCAAAAAATACATGCCAATATGGTTCAAAATTAGTATCTAAATACTTCTTAAGATGCTCTGCCATCTTAATATAAGTTATGAAACTGTTACCTTTTATCCATCTTTAGCTTCAAATGTTTTCAAACAACTTTATGTTTCATTTATAGCACCTTCAAGAATGTCATCAGGGCAATCAGGTGGCCATAACACTCTAGCACCTAAGTACATTCTATATTAGTTTGTTGTTTGAGATGACATTTTTATTAATTAATTAAAATATATTTATATCAGATAACAAAATCCAATAGTTCAAATTTGAACTTAAAAATACAAATACTTATTATCTATTATTAAATTTATAGTTTTTAGAATTATTTTGTGTGTATTTAACATATATTTACTATATATGAGAATATTTATATCTAATTCTTTTAAAATCAATAAAATTTGTAATATATTATGAATTTTAATTAATAAAATACTAAACAAATATTTATTGTAATGATAAGATAAGAGTTTAATCATTTATTTAAAGTTAAACTTATTAAAAATGAAACATTTATATTCATTATTCTCTTCCTAACACTAATGTAATTAGATCTCCAGCCATAACTTCCTTAAAAAATATTAATTAATTACTTCTACAAAAACAGAACAATCATTGTTCTTTGTATCATTTTTTGATAATGTATATATATGATTATCATATGAGGCAAAGACAGATCTATCAAAACCACAACTATATGATTTAAATTTCTTTTATGGCAAAAGACTATATTTATAAATCTTTATATACTTACTCTATTTAATTTTTCTTGCAAGATTTAACTGCATTTTTATTACTTGCAGATTATCCACATTAATAATATTTATTATATCCCCAAGAAAGAAATTGTTCACTTTAATTACTTTTACATATAACTCTTATTACACAATGATAAGCACCAAGTTAAAAATCTCTAAAAATTATAGGAATATTATATATACTTAATTTCATATTCATTTTCAATATTAATTCTAATTGGATCTAATAAATGAACAATAATTTGATCATCCAATTCTGGGCATTTTAGAAATCCAAAAACTTCATGTTCATTAGAACCCCACATATAAAAATTGTTTTCTAAGGAAAGTGCTCCAAAACAAGAATAACCTGCCTAAATTTATTTTGCCTTAAGATTTATTTTTCTTGGAACCAATTAGGAATTTGATTATTCAACACATTATAAATTAATAGCTTCTTTCTAAGCATTCAATACTTTAATAATATTATCCCCAAACATATTTTACATCTTACCCCAAGTATAAACATCACCTAAATCAGATCTACATATTGAAATTTCTTCTCCAGCAGAAATATCAACTACAAATATTTAATTATTCTTGAAATAAGAGATTTATTAAGGTTATATAGAACTAATAGTCATTCCTAATTGATATTATTTAATTATTTTTACCATTTCCTAATTAACCATGTTTATTGAATCCCCATGATAAAATATTACCATCAACAGTAAGTGCTAATGAATGATATAATCCACAAGCTATTTTAGTAATTGCTCTATCTGTATTAATATGATATGGTGGACTAATATCAAAATCTTTGATAGGATCTACATCAAAATGTTAAGTAATGGTTTCATCATAAAAGTTAAGTATGCTACCCCATTAACAGGCCTGAAATCTAGTATTCACCATTGCCACTGTACTAAGACTCATATAAACATATACTCTTTTTTTATTGATACATTTCTTATTTGTTATCTTTCTAACAATACTAAACTATAATCTTCAATTAATAGATAACTTTTATCTTCCTCATCTATTATTTATGGTATTTAGAATAATTCTAAAAATTATATTGTATCATTAATTAAAATAGAATTAATTGTTCCTTATAAAAAAAGAGAAAGAGGTTCAAAATATTTAACATATAATTTGATTGGATACAATTCAAGTTCAGAAGACCACCCATTTTTATTTTAAGCTTCTATGGATAGGTATATCATTTCATTGAATGGTAATTCACCTTTATTTAATGGATGATTTCTTGTAAAGGTTAGTTTTTACTATTATACTTATTCTTTATTATTTTCAAATTCAATTACAATTCTTTTTGCTGGTTACAATGATAATGATTAATCATATATATCTAATTAATAAATCCTATAAAGAGTTATTTCACATCCAAATTCTTCTGGTTTATTGAAACTAATATTTATACAATATTAATCTTAAGGATCATTTTATATAAATATTTCTCTTATAATATCAGGTGGTAATGGTTATTTAATTTATTCAAATAACTTTTCAATAATTTAAGGTTAAGTAATAACTTACTATTCATCTTAGTTCTACTATTCATGCAATTATCTTCTGGGTTATTAAGTTTATATATCATATCGATCATTTAATCTTCTCTACTTGCAGATTACAATGTCCCTTTAAGAGACTCCTATTTCTAAAAAATGTACACTAAACATCTGAGATAATTCACGCATGATATTTTTGATTCTTTGATTATTACCATAATAATTTTCATTCAATCTAATAAAATTCTTATTTTCATAACTCATAAATTTTTGCATTACTTCTCTCATACAAATTTAAAGTTATTAATATTTTTCTTCTAAATTCTGTAACAAACTCTGTTATTATAATAAAAGCTAATTTGTATCCTATTCTCTAAATGTAGCTTCATTTATTGATAACATTATATTTTTTAACTCATCTTCCATTTTAATAATAGGATCAATTATTTATATTTTGATACCTTTAGGTGCTGAAAACAATTCTGGATTTAGATGGTTTGTATTTTACATTTGATTCATATTTATAAAATAATAAAAATTCTAAAATCAAATAGTCTTATATCATGATTTTTTATATTATTCCAGTTTCTATTAAGCTTCATCAACTTAAGCACTAATATGTTAGAGTTTATCTTTTAGACTTTAGTTTTCCTTTCTGAGATTTATGTACAATGAATCTAATTATTCTTTCATATTATTTGCTTTTGGACTTTCTAGGAATGGTCTAGTCTAAGATGGTATTGAATAATATTAATTAGTAGGGGAAGACTATATACTATTATGATTTATATTACATATTGCTAGTTGTTTAATGGGGTTTGTAATTAAATTACTGGAATATTTCTTTAGGCAGAATTTGTTTGTTAGAAATACATTAATTAGTGGATATAATTAATATTTGTTAAATAAATTTAATTAATCCTATTCCACTGTTCTAATTATATATCTATTAAAAATATGTTCATTTATGTTATTAGATTATCTTAGTTCTCATTCATTTACATTTATATAATTATAGATTCTATATAATGATATAGAAATAAGAAATATATATATCATTTATTAATTTCTATTATTATGAAAAATCAAAAATCAAATGGATTATCATTATTCATTGATTCTTATTCTGAATCATTAACATCATCTTTCTTTGGAGGATCTTCTTATTTGAATTAAAAGCCACTAATTTATGATTTTTATTATTATTAAGCTGCACTAGCTGGTTTAAATGATTACTCTTAGAATAATGGTTATTAAGTATCATTGCCTAACCATTGTTAAGCAAGATTTTAAGATTTTTATGTTTAATTTAAATTTTAATTATTAGTAATAGTTTGATTCATTAATTTTTATTATGTTTAATTCATAGATGGTACTTTAAATTATTATCCAGTTTAACCAAATGCTTAAGATTAATTAACAACAGATTTAGATGGATTTCCAAAGAAATTCTCCATTTAATCAAAATCATCAAAATTATTTAATTCATCATTTTATTTTAAATTTAATTTTGGTATTGATGGTTAAATAGGTTCTAAAACATCACCAAATTCATTATGTTTAACAGATACAAATTTCCTTTCTTCAGGTTTAGCCTCCCTTTACATATTCCATACATTCCATTTTTCTCTATTTTAATTCTTCAATGCCTATTCTGCTTCCAATTATTTCTTTCTTTTTGCTTCTTACAATTTTGCTAATCTATCTGCTTCTTCTTAAAGTTCTCTTTAAGTTTTTCCTCTCTCTTTTTTTCCTCCTCTCTATTTGAATAAATCAATCTTTGTATTAACTCCAGCATTAGGATCAACATCTTAAGGTAATGTAGATTCTAATAAATACAATAATCTCCATACTAAATATGTATTACATAACCCATGAATTAATTCAAAAGCTAAAACCATATATACCCATAATGATCCATAGAATACTTTTTTTTCTAAATCCCCTACAAAATCACCTAAAGCTAAAATATAAGATTGACTAATAATGCCATAAAGAAGTAGTTCTGAAGATATCTCTTTAATTCTTAAGAACCAATCTTTCATAAGGAAACATGTTGCAAAACCAATAAGAGCTCTAGGTATAATAATAAGTAATATTTATTAGAATGGATCATCAACATATATCATAGCATAAGCAATAAAAACCTTTTTGATAAAATCTTATTGACTCATAAAAACACGACGTTTACGATCATGATCATGACAACCATCTGTCAAAGTACCAAACATAGATTTAACTTCTGATTCTGTACCAAAATAATCTCTAAAAAATGCTAATAAAAAAAATGATGCTTAAACTAAAAGAATAAAAAGTAATAAGATTAAGGCTATTACTGTGTTAGTACCACTCCAATTCGAAGCCATAGAATTGTATTTAACATTATGTAAACAACTAATTAAAAGTTCTAATAAAAACACTTCATAAAATTTAAAAAAATAACTAAATTCTAACTTATCCAAAAATACTTCAAAAACATAAAATACATATCGATGATATACTAATTTAGTGAATGCATAAACAATTAATGAAATAGCTAGATAAAACAAAAATAATCCTCCAGTATTATTGATAACTTAATAAGTTAAACCAGCCATTGAGAATCTCCTTAAAGACAATAGATATTCTTCAGTATGTTATTATAGAAAATTTGGTAGAATATATAAATTACTATATCTTAAATCTATAAGTAACATTTCTGAATTTAGAGGATAAGATCTCACATTTATATAATATAAAGTGCATATTACTTATAATACTTCTACAGTTTTCCAAATTCTATATTATTAATCTAAGAATCCTGCTCCAATCATTAATATCCAATTTAATATTTATAAACCATATGCTAAGTTTCTAAGAAGAGTAAAGAATTCAATTTCTGCGTCATTATAAAATTCTTTATCTTCTAAATCTATAGTTTTGGTGATCTTTTCAGGATTAATAGCAACATCATAATAGTTAGTCAATTTTGTTTGATCTTTCAAAGTAACTGTAAGACTTTGTGACACAACATTTTTTAAGAAAGTAAATTAAATAGAAATTGTTTTATTTGAACCACTATTATTTACAAATTAATAAGAATAATCTTGTTCTGTGAATCCATTTATGGATAATGTAAATAATGTACTAATATTCTTAACAATAATATCATCATATTTAATTTGATCAGTAAATGTAAGTTAGATGAGTTATGGATCTAGAATAAAAGATTTTAATTCAAATTCCCATCCTAATATATCAAAACATTCAGAAGGTCCTTCATTTTATACAAGTCTACAATTAGCACCTTCTTCTATTACACATTCTCTACTACAACCATCATCATTAGCAAGATTACCATCATCACATTTTTCATTAATTGATACCAAACCATCTCCACATTTATCTTCAATCTTAATACATTTATCTTCTATAGGTCTATAACCTAATTTGCACTTGATACATTTATTTAATTCAAAATTACATGCTAAACATAAATCTCCCATATCACAGAACTTACAAGAACCAAAAGGAGAATAATAATCATCACAACTTGTACATAATGTTTCTGTCTCACATACTGTACAATGAATTGGACATTTCTTACACCATTATCCTTTTAATTCATGTTCTTTAATGTAATATCCATCTGAACATTTCAATACACATTAAGTTCCATCCAAAACATAAGGAGATTTACATCTAAAACATTAAGCATTATTATAACATCTCATACAATTATCTCCACATTTTAAACAAGCTTACATAAATGGATCAGCATAATAATTATCACCACAATCATCTGTACATGATGTCTCAGCTTTATAATATCCATGATAACATAATTGACATCCATCAATATCTGTATCTGTACATATTGCACAATTTGTAATACAAGGATAACATTCATCCCTAGTAACATCATCCTACATCAAGACTTATGAACAACCAAAAGATGTTTCAATTAAACATAAACTACTACAACCATCTCCATTTCTAACATTACCATCATCACATTCTTCTTTGGCATCTCTAATATTATTTCCACAAGTAACTATGCAAATATCTTTTTTGGTCAAATCACCTCCCTCACAAGAATATGACAATTCAACTTTACAATTACTATTACATCCATCTCCATCTATTAAATTACCATCATCACATTCTTCTACATCAATCACTTTCTTACTATCCCCACATATAGGTTAACACTTAATTTTGTTTGGACAATCCCAACCAGTTTCAATTTTACAACTAGCATTACATCCATCTCCATCTACAATATTACCATCATCACAATCTTCATTTAATGAATGAGATTGTCCATTTCCACATATATCAACACTACATACAGAAGGTTATACTGAATTATCACATACAAATCCCATTGTAATAACACATAAATAACACCCATCACCACTTGCATTATTACCATCATCACATTCTTCATTTCCAGAAACTATGCCATTTGGACAAGTTTTTACACAGATATCAGGTGATGTAGGTGAACCACCAGAACATTCATAATACAAATCAACTTTACAACTTGTGCATCCATCATTAGGACTAAGATTACCATCATCACAATCTTCAATTTATTGTTTTTTGCCATCTCCACAATTATTACATATATCTGGATTCCCACCATTACATGTCCATGAGGGTTCTATTTAACATGTACTACTACACCCATCTAAACTAATTGTGTTACCATCATCACAAAATTCATAAGGTTCTTTTTTACTATTACCACACATATGACATTAACTTGGATTATTTGCATCACATGTCCAACCTACTTCAACTAAACATAAATAACATCCATCATATTAAATAGTGTTTCCATCATCACAAATCTCATTTATTGATTTAGCTGGAATCACATCCTTAACACCATTACCACAATATTAAGTACATATTGTACCAGAACAATCCCATCCTGCATCTATTACACATCCAGTACATCCATCAAAATCCATTACATTACCATCATCACATTGTTCACCAGCATCTAAACTACCATTTCCACATATAAGTATACAAGCACTCATTTATAATGGAACTGCACTACACATCCAATCAGATTCAATTTAACAAGATGAATCACATCCATCACCATTAGAAGTATTACCATCATCACATTATTCAGTTTATGAAAATGCAACATCATTATTCAATTTTCCATTACCACATAATAATGTACATTAAGATGGAAATGAATAACCACATTCCCATAAATCATTATCAACTGCACAATCTGAGCATCCATCATTTAATACATTATTACCATCATCACATTCCTCTGTAAAACTTAATGCAGCTGGTGTCAAAACTTCATCTCTAACACCATTACCACAATATTTAACACAAGTTGTCAATTCATAATCTGTTGCTGGAGAACAATTATATCCCTTTTCATAAACACAACTAGAACTACATCCATCTCCATCAGTAGTTCCATTATCATCACAATCCTCAGTAGGAGGTTCTTTATAACCATTTCCACAAGCAGCTTTTATGCAAATTTAACTAGGATTTACATAATAACTTTATGATGAATCACAAAATGCACAGAAATTATGACTTGTCATATCAGTTATTAAATAATAATTGGCAGAACAAGTACTAGTACTACATAAAAATGTAGAATCCAATTTTGCAGCTAAACTACAAACATAGCAATAATTTTCAGAAGATGTTAAACTATATCTTCCAATTGTGCAATCTGTCTAACAAGGACTGTTCATAAATATTTAAAATCCTTCTTCAAATCTGAGTAGTCTTAATTATATCGTACCTTAATAAGGGTTTAGTGCATCTCCAATGTAACATTTATCAGATCCATTATATTTAGTACTAATTGTAGCTGTATAAGTAATTTAAACATATCCACTTA